CGGGGGCCGCTGCTGCCCCTTTTCCTTCCCCCCGGTGGCCCGCCGGGCAGTAGCTGTGGGGAAGCCGCAGGAGCCGTTCCTACGGCAAAGTGGCCGGGGGTGCAGGTGTGTTCTGTGGAGAAAAGCGAATGTAAAATGAAAGCCGGGAAGCTGGTCGTCTGTTCGAGGGGCTTTCTGCAATAGGCTGCTCTTCCTAAAAGTTAAAGTGCTGCCAAGTTTTGGGTGTCTGTTTTCCTTTTGCCCGTGTTTCCATTCGGGGCATTGAAGCCCGCGTGAAACGGTTTTTTTTTAGGTGCGGGACCCTGGGAGGCCCCGTTCTTCAGCCCAGCTGGGCAAAGAGCTTAAGGACCAAATACTTGCTTGAAGCTTCCTTGCTTCTGCCCTTGCTCTGATGGAAAGAGTCCCGCCAAGGTGCTTGAATAGGTGATCTTTTTAGAGGAGCGAAAGAGAAAGCAACGCCGTGTGTTCTGCAATGTCAGGTGGGAAAGCTTGTCCTGTGGTGGCAGTGGATAAAGCTTTACTCCTACATGTTTTGCCCTTAAAAAAACCAACCAAACAAAAAAAAACACAAACAAAAAATACCCCAAAACATAAAAATAAATATATTCTTATCCTGCACTTAAGAGTCTTGAGCGTGAACCGAGGCTTCACCGTGCTGGGTGCAAGCACAGCATTTGCGAATGTAAAATAGTGGCAGCATCTCACAAGTGAAGAAAGAAGCTGTGTTAGAGATCTCAGAAGAATGCTATGGACTTTGGAGGGTGGGATAAGACACAGGAGGAAGAGAGTAAATGCCTTTTATTTTTAATCTTTTTTTCTTTTCCTGTTTTTGGAATTAACAACTTCTTATTCTAAACCACGCCCAAATAATACTTAAGAGCTGTGGTTAGAGGACAGGGTAACATTTAGAGAAAATATGTCAGTCAGTGGGTGTGGGTTGGCAAAAGATGAGGCAAGTGCTTCTAGAATAATTCAGAATATTTTATTACAGTCTAAGTCACCCAGTGGCTTCAAGTATGTGATGTTTCGCTTAGTTACGGTGTTAAGATGACAAAACTGTCATGATTTTTGACCCAAGGTTTGTAGCACTTGGGATTCAGTCTGCCAGCCAGAATGTCTAATAGCAACAAAGTGTTTATACTCTATTTTCAGGCAGGCGCTAGTAGAGCTTTTTTCATCTGAAATACCTTTATATCTGTATATGGATATATAAATATATTTATTTTTAAAACAAGCATTGAGTCACCAGGGTGAACAACTGGCATTTGAAAAAAATAACAAATACAGAAATGGATGTTGTAACATGATTTTGGAAGTTTGCTAACAGCTATAGCTATGACTTAATGAAATGATTCGTGACACTTTTTATAGAGTAAGAATATTTGCCTTAATAATAGTGTGTCAAATTGCATTTGATTATTTTGTTACCTCAACTGGGCATAACATTTATCTCCTGTGTTACTATAAGCAGTGACTGGAGATAGTAGGAGCTAATGTTTTGGTTGAGGCTTATTTTCTTAAATCCCCTGAAATGAAAAATAGGACTTTTCATATCAGTTTAGGCACAGGAAACTCCCGGGGTCTTTTTTGGTGAAAGAGATGCAGGACTTTATTTGAAATCTGGAATTAAATTATGTGAAATTGCTGTTTTGTCTTTCTTAAAAGTCACGGGTATCTGCATCTGATAAAGTTGAATGGTTTTAAATTACCGTCTGTTATTTGGCATCTGTATGAGTTTCTTATTGTGTCTACCTGTTAACTGTGCAGCAGTCTGAGTTACTTCTTTTACAAAATAAATGTTCTTCCCCTTTCTATGAGTTGACCAGGGTTTTCAAAGTGGAGCACTATCTTTCTAACAGATCTGGAGTCCCCATGCCTGCCTGTCTTGTTGAGATGGTTTCCTTCCATGGTGGAGCACGTAGTGTATCTGTCATCAGAGCTGAAGGTGTTAAGATAAGCTTGACCAGTTTCTTCGGGACTTATATGTAGAAAGTAGCCAAAGCAGGCATATTTCCCCTTAAACTCACCCTTCCAAGCACAGATTTAAGATGAAAGCTCACCTTTTTTCTGCTAGTGAGGAAGGCTGGCAAATAAAGATAGTATATGGGAAGGAAAGGAAGGAAGACACTTGGTGTTTTGTACGTCTAGGAAGGTGGCATTTGGCTTCCTAATGTTGTTCTTCCAAGTTTTCTAAACAAGAAATACAAACGTCCTTAATATTGACATTGGTGTTGGTCCTAAAGTTACTTGTTATTGCTCTGTGTAAGTGGTCTTAACTTCTCAGTGTACTTTTCAAACAAATATAAAGATAAATATACCCTTAAAAATTGAAGTGACTTACACTAGGTACATGTGTGTAGAGAGTAAGCAGAATGTTTTTGGTTTCCTGACTTGCTAGATGGTTAATAAGCATAGCAATGTGTATGTAACTGTTGTTTGGTAAGTATGGCAATCCCTTAAGTTTACTTATTTTGGTTGAAATTGAGTAATGTGGTAACCTTGAAATGGTGAAGCAAAAGAAATTAAAGCAATGTCATATTAAAACAATGTCAGGTCTGCTTCTGAGACAGAAGCTGGACCAAATAATGGGAAGAGAAGACAAGGCTCCTATAATAATAATAATAATACCCTCCTCCAACTTCAAAGTTCATTTTCAAAAGCAGTAATAAATGTGTTAATGGAGTTAGTAAAAACCTATAGATATTGAGTCTGGGGTTCTCTGAGAAAGATGTTGAAATGCATCTGCTCTCCTATTTGAACTGTACAGAGAAAAGTTGCTTCATTTAAAAACTGGGTCACCAAGACAAGTTAGGGACAGCATTTTCAACAACACCATATTGTTAAGGATTAGCTGGTAACTGTGATGGTTTGATAGTTTCCATCATCGTTTTATCTGTTTTTAGAAATTGCTAATGGATTTCTGTGTACTTATTTAAATAATACTACAAGGCTGGTATAACTTTTTTGTTTTTCTCTCCTCTGTTCCCAGAGTTGGTTCCTTCAATTATGAGTAACATGCTGAATCCAGATGCTATTTTTTCAAACAATGAAATGAGCCTGTCAGACATTGAAATTTATGGTTTTGATTACGACTACACATTGGTCTTCTATTCTAAACATCTGCACACGCTGATCTTCAATGCTGCTCGAGATCTTCTTATTAATGAGCATCGGGTAAGTAAAATTAATGGAATAATGATAAACTTATGAATTAAGAGTGTAATAAATTTCTAACTGAGAAGGGCATAATTCATTTTTTCATGCCTTAGTTCTAGCTTGACTCCCTTATAACACATTTTGTACAACAGCTGCATGTAAACCGCAGAAGCCCTGGTTTATTCTCAGCTGCAGTTTTGAACAGAGTACAATCTGGCAACTGTTAAGGAACAGAGTTTTGTTTGTCTTACTTTTTACTTTGGTAGTGGGGAGGTGCTGAGGTTTTTTTTGTTTGTTTATGTTTTTTTTTTACAATTGTCAGTTATTGAAGTCACCCTAATAGAGAAGAGGCTTAAAAGTTACTGTTACTCTGTTGTATGCATTGCTGTGAGTGTTGTGATTAATTTCCATACAGAATATTTTTAGCCTGACTTCTTATGAGGTCTTTGATTGCAGTGTGTGCTTGCAAGGCACTCTGTGTGCGCCCAGCGTTGCGACTGAGTTGGCTGAAGGGGCAGTGTGTGCAGTGACACTGTCAGCAGAGGCTGGATACGAGAGAGACCCAAGTAGGTGTTCAGCTCAGTAGTCCTCTAAGAGGGAGCCCTTCCTTGTTACCTCACCAAGCAGCTTGTTTGCATCAGTGACCAGTTGACATCCAAGCAGCTTGAAGCTGATTGTTGCGTAGTTTGCGGATGGAAGAATTGCTGTGTGTCAGAAAGCTGGGGGGGAGATGGGTGGCTGGGGAAACTGAAAGTGTTGCAGGGAAAAAGATTGAAGAAAATGTGGACTGAAGAGGCAAAGTTTATTAACTGTAGGGCTTACAGGAAAATGAAAGACAGAAAATCTAGAGGGTAGCTTAATTAATAAGACTGCTTGTGTATTTTACGCAACTTAAATCTGAATGGGTATTCGTATTTGAATCTAAAGGTTAGGAGCTATATAAAAACATCTATAAATATCCCTGGAAGAACAAAAAAACTTCATGGGTGCTACAAGCATACGCAGCTTGATTCCCCTAAGATTTTGGCATGTCTTGGTAGCAATTTCTGTAGAATGTGTAAATACACTTCATTAAAGCTACTTAGTTCTTGCAAAAATCATCATTACCATAGAAGTCAAGATTAATTCTTGTAGACAATAATTAAAACGCTGCTGTCTTTACTAGTTGAATGAATTCAGGCAGTAATAACCTTCTAGTTTGTCTTGATTAAAATATCTTGAGTTCTAGTAAATGCAGCTGTAATTACTTTTTGAGACAATTTATTGAAATATATCCTTTCCTGTTGGAATTTATTGGGGGACAACAGGTTTTATTAATGCTATCTCTGTAGCTGCTTTGACTGTTAATGTTTTTCTCGCCTTAAACATTAGAAAAAGCTTCTAGATAGTATTGTCCCTTTTGACTGTCATAGTCAGCCCAAAAGATGTCCAATTTTGGTCATGGCAGTGTAAGGTAATTCATCAGAAATTATAAAATAGAGTGTAGGAAGCAAGGAATTTTGAAATGTGTCCAAGAGAATAAACATCAATTTAACGCTAATCTCAGAGGTGGCAGCAGGTGTTGAATGTAAACTCTTGCTCTTGGGTTTATTTCTTTCCTAATGTACAGACCTTGCGCCACCTTATCTGGACTGCTGTTTCAGTCCAGATATATGCATCCCTACAAAGAGCAGGGTAAGCAAACAGTGCAATTTTTATCATTATTTTGTTTGGCTTGTAAGGAAGCTTTGATTTGTGTGCCAAGATAGGCTCAATTTTTTTCTCACATGTGCTGGCTGGCATGTGTGCAAAAAGACTGCCTTCTAGTAGAATATATTAAAGTAGGAAAGTCAAGCATGCAGAAATTTGAAAAAGTCAGAAATAAATTTCCTTGTTCATGCTTGATGTGGCCTCTTGGGGCATGTGCAGTACACTGTAGTTTTTAATTAATCACATTCTGCATCATCCCCTGATGTTTTCTCTTGTGTCCTTTTCTGCTTCATGTTCCCTGGCCAAACCTATACATCTTGATTCTGTGATCTTCCCAACATATCTGTAAGCTTTTGATGCTGTTCTTCATTCAGATCAGTAGCTTCCTCTGTGTTTTCTAGAAGTGATGGTAGGGGTGATAGTTCAGAAGTTAGGAGAAAGGACTATTTAACTGTAGATGCCTGTGCTCAATACAAGCACAGTCTCCTGCAGTTGCAGAGCAAGTCCTCTTCAGCATAGATAAAAACTTTGTGAAGAAATTGTGATTTATTTATTTTTTGTAAGAGTAGCTAGAGCATCTGTTGAAGCTGTATAATCTGCTTTTTTCCCCAAATTAGACATATATGCACAGAGACTGTTGAGAAGGTGGAGAATGTGCCTGAGATGCATTTGTTGAGTTCTAAGACTGCTGTAGCCTGTGGGAGGGAAATGAAGGGTCACCTTTCAGTTGCTTAATCGAAGAAAAGATCATTTTCTCAAGCCTTGTCAGAAATGACTGAAACATTTTACCTTTTAAAAACAAATGAACAAAACCCTTAGCATGAGGCACACACCCAAGGTATATTTTTTTTCATAGCTAACCTATGCTTAAAGCACAACAAAATTACAATCAACTGGAAATGGGCTTGCACTGAAAAACGTTAGAAAACTCTCTAATAGGTGGCGTGAGCTCCCTGTGCTATCTATAAAGAACCTGAGGAAAGAGTACATGACACAGATATTCAGTTCACCTGGATCTCTAAACAATGAGGTGTTAACAGATGCTGTCCAGGGTAAATGTAGTTGGGTCACTGTGCTGTTCTCCTGAAGTGACTCGCCCTGATGGCATTTAGTGCCCGACTTGGGTTCAGGATTTGATCTGGCTTCTCCAGGTAACATTAGCTGCTGTGACTTCTCTTCATCCTTTCTCCCCATCCGTGTTTCTTTGCAGTGCGCTGTATCTTTAGACACCTCTGGGGTCTATGTTTCAAACTTGGCAACCTAAGATCAGGAGTATGATTTGCACTCAGGGAGTCCAAACAGGTAGCTGTGCTTCTCTTATTTCTTGAAAATGCCGAAGATTTTTTGCTCCTGTTAATATTGATGACGTTATATTGCTTTTTCTTTCAATAGAAGTGAGTAGTAAATTTCAGGTATCTGGAAATCAGGCCATGTTCTTGGGTTCCTAGCTAGAAAGTTGAATTGGAAACTGTTTGTATAGTCTGTTTCATGGGGGGACTTCACAATGCAAGGTAATTCAGCTGTTAAATTTTAGGAGATTAATAAAATTTAGTTTGTTTTCAAAGGTGCATACATTAAAATAACTTTTTGAACAAGAGGTTAATGTTCAAAGGTGATCATTACAGAGTACCTGGGTGTCCAGTTTTAGGTGTTGTGCTTGACTTAGATTGAAAACATTGACCTTGGATTTTGGAAAAATATTAGATTTGTTTTGCACTGTACATTTTTTTTTTCCTGCAGATCTCGTCAACCTATCAAAAAGCCCCTTAATGTCTAATGAAAATGAGTAGCATAGAAAACTTAGACTTTTAAAATTTTGCAGAAACAATTTTTTAATTTGTTTTTGTTACAGATTTAAAATCAAATCATTACTGTCTTTTCTTAGTATCCTGCAGAAATAAGAAAATACGATTATGATCCCAATTTTGCAATCAGAGGACTTCATTATGATGTGCACCGGGTAGGTATAAATAACTTTGTGATGAGTTACATAGCGCTGAGAACCTAGCCCAAGAAAATAGGGCTTTTAAGTCTTCCAGCTTTTCACTCTGCATTGATGTGTGAGGATTTTGTTTCATATTTTTCTCTTGCAAGAGAGAATTTTCTCTAGTGAGCTTGACATTTTTTATTATTATTTTTTAAATAACTTAAGTAGAAAATGTTTTAAATAACTTAAGTAGAAAATAACTTAAGTAGAAAATGTTTAAATAACTTAAGTAGAAAAAGTAGTAAAAAATAAAAGAAACAAAACACAAAAACCCTCCAACCCTCAAATAAACAACCAAAAGTTACTTTTCTAAAGATATAGGAATGGGAAAGAAATGACATTAACTTGATAAGCATGAACACTTATTAAAGCTATAGACACCTCAGGTCAGTTGGAAACAGTATTCAAAGTCCTAAAAAAGTCAACACGAGACACGTGTTTTCATTGTTCCAGATGATTCAAAAGGGGTCTAAGATTCATGATAGCAACACATGGTGGACAGGGGAAGACAACTTGGAATGCAACAGAATAAACCTAAGCAGGCATCTGCTAGTAGGAAAAGTTATTTCTTCATGACCCAACTCAGGTCACTGGACAATGTTTCTGTGGTGATTTGGCAAGCCCTTGGTAAAAGTCATTGACAGAAGTATTTTGGGAGCTGTGAAGGAAGTTGAAGTGAAGGTGCTCTTGGGACAGAAAGGTTATAGATAAAATTGCTTTGATTTTTATAATTTCATGTCAAATAGTTGGTGTGATAAAAACTTTTTTTTTTTCCCCCCCTGTGCAAGGCTTTATTAATGAAGATTGATGCTTTTCATTATATTCAGCTGGGAACTGTTTACAGGTGGGTAAAATGGTTTCCTATTTATAATAAAAATGTGTACTCATTTTCTTAATCTTAGTTGTGTTTATTAGTGTACATCTTAGGTTCGTATCAGGAGCAGTGCCCTGACAAGCATAGATGTGAATGAACACTGCAGCCTTACTGGAAGGGGGTTTCTTTGCACCTCTGTGTGTACACACAGATGTGCACATGTTTACTGACTGATACAGTACAGCTGATTCCCCACTTCAGAGCTGGGGAAGTTGGCAAGCTGGTTGGTCACATAGTGCTGACTCACTTTGTTTCCGGCTGTTAAATTGTGCTGAAAGACATCTAAAAATATGCTGATGACTTCTCTGCTGTTGCTTTCTCTGTAAACAATTGTCCCAGAGTGCCTGTTAGCATGACTTTGGTGTGGTTGTAGAGACACTTGAGAGGTCTTGCTGAGGTCTGCACAGAGCTTTTAAGTTTGGACACATCAACCACATCATACTTGCAGAATGGAGCACAACTGCTTCGTGTCTGCACAGCCTGACGCTTTTGACTTTGCTGAATTGATGTAAAATTGGCAATCTCTGTGCTGTGCTTCATTACATGATATAAACATACTGTGTGTGATCTTTGACAGGAGAGTTTGTTATATGGCTTAGTTTGCTGTAATGAAGTAGCATCCATTTGGCTGTCACGAACACCATGCTTGGTACCAGACTTTAAAGTAAACAACAAGCCTAAGCACCTTCTTAATGTCATTGGACGAAAAAGATAATGCAGCCTTGAGGTGATTTGCTATAGGGGACAGTATATGGTAGTATGAAATGATGATAATATGCTCATTACTTCTTTTTGTTTGCTAGGTGGGCAGACGGGTAGATGAATCAACCGTATTCGTTGATCTGTTCTTTTAGGTCTTAGCCTGATGTACCCTTTGGGAGAGGGGAGAGGACGGGAAGGAAAGTGAAGGAGGAAACAAGATGGCATGGTCCAGCATTAGGCTCACGCTGTCAACATAGTAGTGATCTAAAGCTGCTAAAACAATGTGTTCTGTAGGCATCATCAGAGTGCAGAAAGGAGCTAGTTAAGTGGGACTCTGCTACCATAGCAGCCTTGAGGAAGTTCATGTATCATGCCCCTCCACTGCAAAGCTGGTCTGGATGCTAAACACTGAAAGAACTAGGCTAATTAATTAATTGTTTTTTCAATGCCTCACAACACTTCTGGGTAAGACCAAAAAAGGGAAGCACTGAAATAAACTGTCTTTCTTACAGGGCTGCAGAAAACCATAAGTGGGCTTGGAAAAAAAAGACCAGATCATCTGGTTTTCATTTGTGTTCTTTAATCTTAACTAAAACCTCAACACTTCTGTGTCCTCTGCTGAGGATGTTTGCATGCCTGCAATGTTTTAAGTGCTTTAGTGCAAGATGCTTGATACTATAAACATTCAAAACCAAACTGAAACAAACTCTTAATAGTTGATAAAAAAACTGTGGGAAGAGATTGTCTCCTTCTTCCCCATTTGTAGTTCTACTTTTATATTTTAATTACTTGTCAACAATCATAACATCATAGAATGGTTTGGGTTGGAACAGACCTTAAAGATGACCTAGTTCCAACCCCCCTGCCATGAGCAGGGACACCTTCCACTAGATCAGGTTGCTCAAAGCCTCAT